CCCCCCCTCTTTCATTGATTATAATAAATTCTGGACAGATATTGAGATGATTTTATTGCAAATTCTTATTATGACATTGTATACAATATATTCACTGTATTTCTAATGTCTTATAATAACAGTTAACGTGCTCAAATCAATTCCAAAGTTATCCGAAAAACACATAAATGCTCTTATCGAACAGAATCACATTAAAACATAAAAATTTGTACTCGGGATATATTTCAATAAATAGAGAAAAATCTTATATGTTATAATGTTACCTAATTTAATAGATGTGCTTTTTAAAAAGCAGTGTCTAAATCTATATTTAAAAAATCATATTACTTTCTGATCCATGTATAGCCCGTCACATTCTAAATCCACGTAAATTCTGACGATACACATCTCCCCGTTTTATCGTTGTTGTTGAAAGTTCATACAAGTTGAAACAAATGTTCTGTATTTTGCGTTGAATTTTTTTTGGTCAGTTGAAGTTATTAGTTTGTCTGCCTTAAATAACATATTATTGTATAATCGTTACTTACACATTTATCTCGGTCGTTATTAATGCCATTTTTTTGTTTACCCTATACCCACTTGTTCGATCCCTAATATTTATTATCTTTATTAATATTTGCTATTTAGATTTTATTACGAAAACATTACATTTCCAGATTGCTTTATTATTTGTTGACAAATGCGACGGCAGGGCGATCAATCAAATTTCCAATTGGGCAATTAATAATATTTACGCTTATATTTTCCTTCCTGGCATATATATGTGAAAATTTATTTTCATACGATTTTGCTCGATGTTGTAAATACGATTCTCGCAAGCACGGTAAAAAGTATGTTCCAAAAGAAATAGGTGTAAATTCGTACTGAAAATGTAAGTTCGAGTTTCGTATGTGAAACGTGTAACTCGTCAAACTTATCTCTCTTGAAAATAATTCGTAATGCGTGGAAAAGATATATTTATCAACAGAAACGGACGCGACAATTATTTGATATATTCCACGGTCGTAGATGAAAAAAAATCACTTCAATTACATTTCTATTTCAATTACATTTGTAAATTCCTTTTAACGAGATCACCAATTTCAATTATATGTAATCTACTTGCAGCTAAATTCTATGACAAATATTTAATTGTCGGAAACACTTGGCCAGATATAAACCCACCATGACGCACGTATTATCGTTATTGTTATGACGTTATCTGATCCTTGTTATTGTGTATCCTTGGTTATTGTTATGTAATGCGAAATTGTTGTTAAGTTACCGTTGTTACCTCTGAAAATCCGCACCGAGAAGTTGCCTGCTATTAATGCCCGTTTTTTTTTGTTCTTAAAGGATTTGTCGTAGAAGCTGTTTTGTTACTGTTAAATCAGCACCAAAAGCAAGCATAATTCGCTCTTTCTCCCTCTCCACCTTGATCTTTTTCTTTCATTCTATCATCGAATTAATATTAAATAATCTAGACTTCTATACTTTAATCGGCGAAATACAAATCGATCATCAGTTTGATGAGAATAATGAATAATTAAAGTGTCATACGTTACACGATACACGGGATGCGTTCATTAAGCTCTGATGTCACTTCGGCAGAAACATTATGTTCCGCATTATTATTTTAATGACTTGCAAACTGCCTAACGATTATCGTCTGCGAGATTGATTGTACTTTTTTTTGGTTTCACCGTATAGTGCCTTATTCGATAGATTTTAAATGTACGTGTATGATAATGATGTATTCTATTGTCGTAAAATAACGTAATGAGAAACTTAGTATAAGTGCAGCTAAGAATATATAAATTTTTGTGAGAAAAATTACACTAAAGTGCTGCTATACGACATATGTACATAGAAGTACATTTAATGAATAAACTTTATACGTAATATATGAAACGCTCTTTTTATTATCTATAGATATTACCTATCTCCATCTTGTAAAAAAATTTACAAACAGAAAATTATGCTTTCATACATCAGTCTCTCATTATTTGCAATTTATTTAATTATACAATAATATTAATATAAGAATATGATTAAATTATAGTAGTATCATTTAAAATAAAAAAATACAAATAAAAGCATTAACCTTGTAGATATAATTAAAAACGAAAAAAAATTGACATTACAAAAATCTGTGCAATTGTAAAAAAAGAAAAAAATTAAAGCGAAGAAAAAAAAGTCTTATATTCAATTAAATCGGCCGCACAAAGACCCAACCGCCACCATCTATAGCGACCGTGAAAGATGAAGCTACCAGCTTTAACGGTAATTTTGTCTTTGGAGAAAGCTCTAAGCTGTATTTTCTCAGGAACGTAGCCAGACACGCTTTTACCTGCAGCAGAGCCATTCTCATTCCCACGCACATTCGTGGTCCTTCGCCGAACGGAAGAAAGGCGAATTTCTCGATGCTGTTCTTTCTGTCCGGACCGAATCTATCGGGATCGTACTTTTCGGGATTCTCCCATAATTGTGGATCAGTGTGCAGGCCCTTAACAGGTATTACAATGGGAGTTCCACGTTCCACGCGGTAGACAAGTCCGTCGGATCCTTTCAACTCGGTATTCTCCGTGCAAACCTTGTTCAGAAATCCTACTGCGGGTATCATCCTCTGCGATTCGCTTATCACCTGATCCATGTATGTCATATCTTTTAAGGCTTCGTATGTGATTACACCATCGTGTTTGTTAAGCACCGATATCACCTCCTCGCGTAATTTCTCTTGTACTTTTGGATGAGTGGCCAAATTGAAGCCGACGAAGCTTAAAACGACGCTGGAAGTCTCGTAGCCGTCGATGAAGAATGACACCGCGTGGGACGCGAGAACATCTAGATCAAACGTATCACCCTCCGTCCGTTCTAAATTGGCCATCAGCTGGAGAAAGTCGTTTCTAGGTGTCGTGTCCTTTCTTCTTTGCTCCATAACATCCGCAACCAGATTTCTAAAGAAATCATCGGCTTTCTTTGGTAACATTCTCATTCTCAAAATTTTGCCAAGCATTGGTAAGAAGAACGTAAGAGTGAAGACAAGGTAGTTCCAAACGGACGGCTCAAGGAAGGTCTTGCCAATCGTGTAAAAAGACTCCTTCTCTTTATCATCGTCGAAGCAAAATCCATCCACGCCAAAGCCAGCGCCAGATACTACTTGCGCGGTGAATCTGGAGAATAAGTCCTTTAGTTCCAGTTCTATTTTCCCGGTTTTTTTTAGCTTCCTATCGAGGTAGTTGTCGAACGTCGTGCACACTTGCTTAACGCTCTCGAGTAAAAATTTCAATCGCGCGCTGGAGAACGCGTAAGTTAAGCGCTTTCTCGCGGTCACCCACGTGTCACCGTAAACGAAAAAGGGATTGCTCGCCAGAAGTGGATCCAAATCGGGATTGATCTTGAGGCCATTTTCGTGGAAATTCGTAAAGCTCGTCGCAAGCACGGTCTTCACCAACTCGGGATCGCGTACTATTAACGTAGGTGTCATACAGTTGTAAAATCCCACCACGCTGTGATTTCGATTAGCATTGTATAACTCGCGACAAAAGTCGGAGGTATTGGTCTTCTGTGTGATGATTGGCCAGAAGTGACCTAAGCCAGGCACGACGCCGTCCGGGGAAGGTACTCCACGTTTCTGCCAGTATTTATAATTTTTTGTCAGAAAGAGATAGCAAACCACCAGAGCTATGAGAATCGAGAGCACAAGCGTGATGGCCATTTCTGCTCTCGAGGACTGAAACGATACTAAAAGTTTAACGTTGATGAAGGCCTCTCGAACGCCTGTGACGAAACACAACTGCGTCTCTCAGAAGCAATTGAACTTCACACATGCGGTCGGTAGAGAGCACAGTGTAATAGTGGTGATGATAGGATGACAGAAGTTATCGTGTATAGTGTATATACAGAACATGTTACGCAATGTTCGTTATGCAATTTATTATAAAATATTGTACCACACCATTAAATATAACGTTTTTCATTAGATAAAATCTAATCTCAAAAATTGAAAATAATTTTTGAATAAAACTTCTTATTTCTATATTACAATTAAGGTTTACCTTGACATTGATATTGAGACTATTATTGTAGCTGCTACCGACACCGATTGTGAGATTTTTGTGCGCCACCCTATATTCCAATCTAGAACAAGTGGCTGAGTAGTGCAATTGCTGGCTATCATTCAATAAGGAAATAAACCATATCCTACTACGTTACGTTCGACTGAATACGTTTCAGCCACACAATGATTGTTTAATATATAATGAATTAAATAGTGAGTTTAAACACTCCTTTCGCACATACGACTATCGATTATTTATAATGACTTATCTAATAATATATACAGATGATGGTAAATAATGATACTAGAATCTATGTTATTAGATGATGTCAACGTAAGGTCAACCTGCTCGATAAGGAGTACAAGTGATGCTTCTTAATGATGCGATTATTTTTCTGAAAGCAAACATGCAAGTTGTAATAAAATTATATGGCGTTTGAACAAAGAGCAAGCAATAATTTATACATAATGCAATTTCTTTTCCAGAGAATAATCCTTAATTTTTATTATGTATCTCAATTTCATCATTAGAATAATTTTCTTTTTATAAAATACTTTATTATTTCGTTCTTACGATGTAAACATAATCATCAATTGATAATTTGTATCATAGAGTTGTGCGCAAGAAGTGATACATCAACACAATAGTACTTGGCCTTAAAACACTATTTTTCTCACTGCAATAATATCTAATCTGGACATGCGGTAAAAATAATTTGGAAACGCAATAATTTATATTTTCTGTAACCAAGCCTGATTTGCATAATTAAAAAGTAAGAGATCATAATGTTTATAATTCATCAAATAAATAAAATATTTTCGCAATGTCTTAAAAAATTATACATATTTTAATATTCGTTACCTTTTAAATACAACTTATGTTAAGATATCATTTAAAATAAAAAAAATATAATTAAAATCTTGTACATATAAATAAAAACATTAACCAAAAATTTACATTACAAAAATCTGTATAATTGTAAAATAAGAAAATCAAAGCAAAGAAAAAATTAAAAAATGAAAGAAAATTCTCATATTCAATTAAATCGGCTTTACGAAAGCCCAAAGGCCACCCTCTGCAGCATTTAGGAAGGACGAAGCTACCCATTTTAATGGCAATTTTGTCTTCGGCGAAAGCTCTAAGCTGTATTTCTTCACGAACGTAGCCAGACATGCTTTTACCTGCAGCAGACCCATTCTCATTCCCACGCACATTCGCGGTCCTTCGCCAAACGGAAGAAAAGCGAATTTCTTGATGCTGTTCTTTCTGTCCGGCCTAAATCTATCGGGATCGAACTTTTCAGGATTCTCCCATAATTGTGGGTCGGCGTGCAGGCCGCTAATGGGTATTGTGATGGGCGTTCCACGTTCCACGCGGCAGACAAGTCCGTCGAATCCTTTTAACTCTGTATCCTCCGTGCAAACCTTGTTCATAAATCCTACCGTAGGCAAGATCCTCTGCGATTCGCTTATCACCTGATCCATGTACGTCATATCTTTCAAGGCTTCGTATGTGATTACACCTTTGTGTTTTTTAAGCACCGATATCACCTCCTCGCGTAATTTCTCCTCCACTTTTGGATGAGTGGCCAAATTGAAGCCGACGAAGCTTAAAACGACGCTGGTAGTCTCGTAACCGTCGATGAAGAATGACACCGCGTGGGACGCGAGAACATCTAGATCAAACGTATCACCCTCCGTCCGTTCCAGATTGGCCATCAGCTGGAGAAAATCGTTTCTGGGTGTCGGGTCCTTTCTTCTTTGCTCCATAACGTCCGCAACCAGATTTCTAAAGAAATCGTCGGCCTTTTTCGGTAAGAGCCTCGCTCTCAAAATTTTGCTAAGCATTGGCAAGAAGAACGTAAGAGTGAAGACAAAATTGTTCCAAGCGGTTGGCTCGAGGAAGGACTTGCCCATCGTGTGAAAAGACTCCTTCTCTTTGTCATCGTCAAAGCAAAATCCATCCACGCCAAAGCCAGCGCCAGCTACTACTTGCGCGGTGAATCTGGAGAATAAGTCCTTTAGTTCCAGTTCTATTTTCCCGGTTTTTT